GGATTATTATTTGACAGAGCCTTGCGATACTTTTTTGTTCTAACCTAACCTAACCTAACCTAACCTAACTAAAAGGCACTCAATTGCGATCATTTACGCAGGAAAGAAAAATGTGTGAGATGACTAATATACTAAATAAACAAATATACACGGTCACAGTACATAGACTTATCTGGGAAAGTGGTGTAATATTATGAGCGACAAATAACGTTATTTAAACTCCTTTGGCATTAAACTTCTTTGTCAGCGAAAATCCATCCAAGAGCACTGATTTGGAGTTATTTAGAGTTATTTTCACCAAAATTCATGGCGACAGAGCGTGACTGGTTTGTCGAAAATTCACCTATTAAAATAATATAGTTTGCTTTTAGTAAATTCAGAGTTTAGCAAATACATGAAAGTGTACCTCTCCAGTTTATTAGTAACAGCTAAGCTAAACAAACGATCATAGTTTCTAGAATTTATAAATGATTTCTATCCGGTGATGCATTACAGACCCCTTTTCGCTAGAAAATTTTCACGGGTACTCGTACACGCGACCACGTCACGAGACTGAGGATAGAACAATTATCTGAGATTAAATCATATAATCGGGATCATATAATCACGTTTATACTCCCCCCCAACTGCTATTCAGCACATGCCGTCAGTCTTTCCCACATCTTTACAGCACACAAAGTTGAAAAAACATTGCTGCAATGTTGGAACAATGTCGCCGTCACTTCTGTGCTGCATGAGTTGTTTCTTATTCGCGGGCACAAGTTCCTTTATTATAAGCTGATTCTGCTGTGTCTCTTGGGACACCATGTATAATATCATAGGCACTATACATATAACCGGTGTGTAAGCTTCGAAGGTCCTTAGCTTTTATATCGATTTTAAGTCTAACAGCCTTCATATTCTGAGTTCTTGTTTTGTCTTTTGGAAAAAGTGGACCGAACTGCAAAGGTTTCCGATCGGAATTATTCCGTTTTTTCTCCGAGGCAAAAGGCAACAGAAATTTAAATTTAAAGAGAGGAAATCGAAGGAATCGTTTCCTCTCTTTAATCCGAACGATTCCGTATCCGAATAGTTTCCGATCACAATCGTCCAGCTAGATTTCCATATTATGCTCTCCGGGGAAAATGGAATTAGTCCGCTCGGAAACCACCGAGAACCGCGAGTTGCACAATACTACGCGCGCTCACAGGTGTCTTTCTCGCGCAAATGTAAACGGAGAGATGTGTAATCGCGAGCCCCTTCTGTGTGTCCGATTATGCCGACTTATGTCGACTTGTGCCAAAGTATCGGCCACGTAATGAACGGAATATGCGTTCGGCGATAAACGAGATAGCAAGAAGAGGAGAACAGTAGTAACTGATACCGCCAGTTATAAAGGCGGCGGCTTCGTCCTTGAACGAAGCGGTCAATAGGACTGTCGAGTGTTCCCGCTATCGTTCACTATCGAATGCATAATTGCCGCGCATGCGATCTATCCAAACGACGCAGCCAGATCGCGACCGCGGACGGACGGATCTGTTCTTCATCGAGAACGTCGAATGTATTTCGATCGATAAATCGCGCACTCGCCGGTCGCGCGTCGACAGCCGACACGGCCATTATTCCCATTTTAAGAGAGCCTGTAGCTATTTTTATCGACCGGCGATTTCATGCGATCGGTGAATCGCGCACCGAAATCATGTCAACGCGCGACTCTCTGCTCCTGCGGCCGACTTTTCGAGCTCTCCTCCTCACTTTGCCCTCACCGCGGGATTAATTTTCGCTCGGCGATTAACGCATTTTACGTAGCCGCGACCGACAGAATAAAGTCGCGTCCTCAGATATCAGAGTATTCGATACACCGATAAAATATCCGATTTCAACGAGCAGGGATTGAGTTTCGAGCCGTTCACCGGCTACGTCAAGAGCGACGCCTCTTGAAAATCGACACCCCTCGTGTACAAACGCGGATACCCTGATAAAATTCCACGGGCATCGCCCGGAAGAGAACGGGAAAACTATTAGCCCCGTTTATCAAGGAGAAAAATATATACCTGTGACGTGGGGCGGAAAAAAGAAATTATCATGAGCGCAAGTCGCCGATAAATCGCGCAAACGTCATACGAATGCCTTCGCGTCAGCGAAGCTTTTGCTCGCGAATTCACTGACGCAAAGACTTTCGGGATTTCTAAGTCTAAGTGCGTTGTCGTGTGGAACGAAACCTTGTCTTGCGCTTTGCGGGCGCTCGCAAACGCGGAAGCTATTTTAGAACATATTCTTTCCAGAGGAGAGTCGCCGCTACCGCATCCGGTTCGAAAGGATACGAGGAACGCTCGAGAGCGCTGTTATAAATCATTGTCAATCGTTTATCGATCGTTTCGCTTATCGGATCGCCGCGATCTAAGGCCGCGGCGATGTGCGGATCGCGCGTGGATATAAACCTGCCCAGAGATGCTTCGTAATTCTCGCCGCGCCTTCGCGCATACACCGATTAAAAATCGAACAGTTGCGCGAAAATAACTATTAGGTATGTTTTATGCATAACAGTTGCAACGCGTGCAGCTGTAAAAAAGGAATGATTCGTCTCACGCGGAAATGCCGGCTTCGAACTGATCGTCGAGTCCGCGATATGAATTCTGCGCCTCGTCGCTTTTCCGACGCTTTTCGAGCTCGACGAAGCTCCGCATATTTGAACATTTGGTTTAATCCATCAACACACATAAAAATGTAAATATATATTATATAAAGTGTAATACAATATAAAAATATAATTAAAATATAATATAATATATAATTAAAAATATAAGAATAAATATAACAAAATTTAATAAAATATAATGTAATATAAAAAAATAATATAATATAGAAATACGTATAATATAAACATATAGTCATTTCATTATATGTGTATATAAATATTTTTTTGGCAAGAATAGTCTTAACTGGGACTGGAGGGTCAGATTACTGAAAAATCGTGCTTGTTTTTGATAATATTTTGCAACGAACTGAATAAATGTGCAAGAATGACAATTTTAGATATATCTATATAACATATGAAAAGTAGAAAAATTTTGTTTATTAACAAATATTCATATAAATATACGTCCACTTAAATTTTAAACGCGTTTTTCTCGAAATTTTATTGTTCAACTTTTTGCAATGATTTCTCCGAAACTGAGCTTCGTATCGATTTGAAATACCATGGACAATTACGTCAAAATATTTCATTTCGAGATATTAATTTTTTTATTGTAAAAGAACTGAAAAATTTGGATTTTTGCTAATAATAACTGCCATTTTGTTAATTTTGTTCAATTTTTTTTTGTAGTGGTTCACCGGATAATGATAAGTCTCCTCAAGATTTCTAGCTAAAATTCGCTCTGATCGGACCATCGAGCCGAGAGCCGAGAGCCGAGATATTACTGCAAAAACGACAACTTGAAAAAAAAAAGGAGAGTATATTTCAGCTATATATATCGTATATTTATATGAGTATTTGTTAATAAACAAAATTTTTCTACTCTTCATATGTTGTGTAAATATATGTAAAATTTTCATTCTTGCACATTTATTCGGTTCGTCACAAAATATTATCAAAAACAAGCACGATTTTTCAGCAATCTGGCTCTCCAGTCCCCTTAATCTTGAAGTCTATGACACTCGCTCTTCAAGGCATCGTATTCCATTTCACGCACAACAGCGTGATTACGATCTTGCGACCTTCGCAACACGGACAGGGATCGATCGATGTTTCCAGCATGTCCCGTTCTACTGCTGCTTCTCCGTACAATCGCGTAAGGGCGTAAATAATACAACGAGATATCGCAAAGAATTGCACTAAGCACAGCCAAGCAGATACATTCTCCTCCCGACTATCTACGACACTGATAAACCGGTTTCTCAATGGACAATAACAATCACAATGGTTCATAGCCGCGACCGTTGGATCATCGAGATTAAAAGTCCAGAATCGCGGAATGAGAAGAGACTCTCTGAGGAGAGAAAACGTCGCTTCAGAGAGAGAGAGAGAGAGAGAGAGAGAGAGAGAGAGAGAGAGAGAGAGAGAGAGAGGGAGAGAGAGAGAGAAAGAGAGAGAATTCGAAGTCGAGTGAGACAAGCTTCGCACGGCGGGATTGTTTGCCGAGCTGTCGATTTGACTCCCACGCGAGCACGCGTCTAAGCACAAAAGCAACATTGCGCGTATTAATTCAATCGATTTTTGTTGTACCGCCCCCTACACAGCAAACAGCGCGGCTTGAGTGACAAGACCACACGGATGTACCAATTAGCGCTCATTATCCCTGGCGATATGCGCGGCCGTTGCGTGAAACGAATGTCGGACAAAAGATATTCTCACTTCTCATCAATCCTAACTCAGCCAAATCACTCAGACATGTCGTCCTACCGGACGATGCATGCATCTGCATCGAATCACATGTCGAATACGTGCAACCTGAAAATAGCGGATCCTATTTGCAGTCACGCAACCAGACGTTATTATGCGTTGATTTGTTCGAAAACGTTTCTGCCACTCCGGGAAAAAAACAACTTGTACGTACGCTCGACGAATTCTCGCCAAAGAAATTTTTTCGTCACTCCGCGGATAAGATCGAACTTTCTCTCTCTCTCTCTCTCTCTCTCTCCCTCTTTCTCTTTCTCTCTCTTGCTCGCGTATGCGTGCCACAGCGTGAAAAATTGCAACATTCATCACGCGCGATCTCATCACATATTCCGTCCGTCTGCGAAACCTCTCGGCGGGGGGAGCCGAGATGAAAAACTTAGTAGTTTTCCACGGATGATAATATGAATTTTTGCAAAATTACACGAAGCCGCGGTATAATTACACAGCCGCTTGCCGAGCGGCCGATGCAAGGCTAATCAGGTATCCTTCGTGTTAAACGGAGGCGTTACCGATCCTGAGAGTATTCTAAATTATATCTGCCTGTCCCTGAACCTGCAAGAACGCCTTTTGCTGCTACTGAGCGTATATAAGACAGACGGCGTTCTATCACAATGCGCAGTGTTAGATTACCACCTCGACGACAACGGCCATCGCGTTGTCAGCTTGGCAGTAATTCGCTTCCCCAGTCGGTCCCCGTAATTCACACACGCACCGGCGCTCAAGGCACACTCGTAGTCGCACCCGTCGTTTAACCGTACCGAGAAAGTGCCAAGTTTCCTGGACTACGCACGCTTGTCGTTCGTCATGCAGAGCACGCCCGCCTCGAATCTGCCCGGTGCCGAGACGCGCCGAGACACCGAGAAGACCGCCATTTTCGTGAAGGATGCGGCGCCGAAGATCACGAAGTACTCGGTAAGACTTCGGGCCCGAAAATCGGGCCGAAAGGGGAGGGCGTGCGGAATTTAATCGTCGCCTCCGGAAAACCGGCTTCGAGCGCATCGATGCGCTTGAAGATCGTCGCTTCGATCTGCGAGGAACTCTCGTTTCCGGCCATTCGATTGCCAGTCGCTTGTTGACTTTTTTCTCTTTCCTTTCTTTTCGACATCCGGCCATCGGGCAGGTGCGCCCTGATGCGTCAAAACTTGGTCGCATCGACTTCAATTGACCGAGCCAGTCAATGTCATCGATCACGAGGGCATTCCTGTTACGAAGTAAATGATATATACTCCTCTGCAGAAGAATAGGATGCGCGTCGTGGCTTCGCCTTGGTCAGTGATATATGCGTGCAAATGCACCGTGCGTAGCGCTCCAGCCCAATGATCTAACCATTCTCTCACGGCAATTGTGAAACACGAGACATTAATATGCAAATTATTAATTATGTTGAAAGAAACGTAAGAGGTCTCTCGGCGGTTCCCTTGACACGATGACTGATCTGACAATTGACGAACACAATTGTATACTTATGGGAACGTAACTTATGGGCGCGTTTTTGTAGCGGCAAATCGTCGCTCCTAATTAATTAATTAATTAATAGTCGCCTTCGGAATGACGCGCCGGAGTAGCTCGCGTAGCTGCTGCAATAATTACGCGCGAATAACGACGGCGCGGCGCAGCGCGGGCGGGGCGTTCGCGCACAAACTCAAAGGACTTTGCGGACTTCGTCTTCCGCGAACTTCCCGCGACTTCGGATCTTCGGATCTTCGGTCCCCCCCCCGCCGAAGTTTCGATCTCAAGACTCCCCTCGTGATCCTCGCGCTCACAATCTGCGGGTTCTTATCGACTCGTACAAATCACTGCTTGGAAGTAGATCAATGACGAATTAGAGCCACGGGTGACGTTGACCGCGTAACGCGACCGGTCTCGATGAAACTAAAGCTAAATAGACGAGAATGTCTCGCGCGCGCGTTAGCGCGCGACGCTCGAACCATGCGCGGAAACCTTCTCCGAGGGACGCGATGTCGCGCGAATTAACGCCGTATTTGTATCCTCCATCGTCCGAAATACTGCGCAATGCCCTGGTCAACCATGAAAATCCCGTCAAAGTGCGGCTGGTGTAAGTCGCTCCGATCCGTTGAGACGCGCATAATGGATAATCGGCAGAAATTGTCATCGCGAGGATAACATTGCGAGTGTCCATTTGCATATCAGATAAGTCTCTCCCGTCAAGTTTCCGGTTCGCACAGGATAATAGTCATTCGCGTCATTCGCGATATTTTCCTTTCAGCTGGCCGACTCGGCCGACGAGTCGCACAGCACTATGGATTATCATGTCGAGATAATCAGCAAGAATGACAAGCTGAGGGTACTGAAGTTCCTGAGGAGGTTCTTCTTCAGGGACGAGCCGCTCAATCAGAGTGTCCAGCTGATCCCGGAGGGTGAAGACAGCACCTGCGCGGAGCTGGAGGACTACTGCAGCAACGCCTCGTTCGACAATAACTTCAGTCTGATGGCGGTGTCCGCGAGCGGGGCGATCGTCGGAGTGATACTCAACGGTGAGAGAGCTCGTGACAGCCTTTCATCGCGTATATGATCGACCTCGCGCGCTCGTGACGAATTTTCGTTTTCTTTTCGTTGGCCGAGCATTTTACATCACTGCGGACCCAATCGGACCGCGCGCTCGTTACATTTCGTGGGTAACTTGCCGGAATGCCGTCGTCGTGAATACATTCTCGGGAGAGTTGCCGAGGACGTTGCTCTCGCTCGCCTCGCGTTCCGCTGATATCGCCAAAACGCGAGTCGCGTAAGTCTTGCTCAACTCAAAGTTGAGCAAGACCTAGGCGTTATTAGCATCGAGCGTAACGCCGCTAAGAAATCGCCACGAAGGTGGGCGATGCACAGGGACAAGACGAAGAGAGACGAACAAGCAGACAGAGAAGATGAATTGTACGCTGATCTTCGCTGATATACCCTTTTTAACGAGCGTGTTAGTCTCGCTTGGAACAAAGGAGAAGATTAGCCGCTGACTCGAGCTATATCGCGTATGCGGATAAGCGCGGCGCGCGAGGAGGAAATCGAAGAAACGCACAACGGTACTCGGTGCTCGGTGCGTTACGTAAGGCACATTGTATCTCGAATGACTCCGTATATCATTATGCGGTACCGGTTGTGATTCAAAATAGATAATTGCATCGCGGGCTCCGTGTATCATTATGCGATACCGGTTGTGATTCAAAATAGATATAGTTGCATCGCGGGCTCCGTTAATAAAGTCGCGTCTACACTCGAATACGCGCGAGACACGCAGACACGCCTAAAAGAATTACAAGCATACGCGCAAGTCACGCTGTAACGGGATGCATCGGAGGAGAAAAGAAGTTGAAGCGATCAGCGGCACGCGCACGAAACTTGGCCGATTTGCCGATCATCCGGCGGCCGAGATACGCATCGCTGACGGTGATCGCCAGCGGTGATTTCAAGCGGGCTCCACGAAACACGTACGCATCCTCTCTATTTGCGCTCGTTGTGCGCAACACACACGGCTGTTAATCCAATTCGCCTGGGACTATTAATTAAGAGCCATCGTTAAAGTAATATGTAAATGCACCGCGCAGGCGCGTGTAGCCATGCGCGTTACTTGCGCCGGACCGCATTGGAAAAGCAAGCGGGATCGAAAAATAGCAACATGTAATTATGTTTTAAATGTCACGCACAATCGCACGTGACGTTTTTACGAGTCCCGAGAAAAGGGGACCTTTGAATAGAATCGCTTCAACTCGACCACACGATAATATATTATTAGCGGCGAGGCTAGCGATTAACGGGGATATCGTTATCAACATCAGTCCCCGTTACGTGCAATTCGTGCAGACTCAACTTTATGACGCGTCATCGAATGCGGATAAACCGCGGATCCGCGCGCTTGCGGAAATGGAAATCTTTGGGTATCTTCGGGATAAAGAGGCAGAGGCGCGTTATAAAGCGGCCGAGGCGAATATTTGCGTACATTTGCGACTGACACGACACGCGACCGAAGATGTATATTCTCCACACATTGTTACAGGCAAAATGGATCCGCCGTCGAGCGAAGAACCAGAATACATACGGACCTGCGCAAACGCAAAGTTCAAGAAGATACTGCGACTACTGCACCACGTGGACAGAAGAGTGAACGCGGGCGGACAGTTTCGGGACCAGAACATCATGGAGATTAGGATAATCTCGGTGGACACGAACTGGAGGGGACAAGGCATCGCGAAGGCCCTCATAGAAAAGACGGTGTAAGTATCGCGCAAGTTATGCAAGTAATGCGTTTAGATCGGTCGTCTATAGTCGCTGCAGCGTATTCGGCTTTGCGCGTTATCTAATTGTGCATCGGACAAGAAATACATGTAAGCCCTAATCTGTTTAATGATCTCACTCAAGACGGCTGATGTAAGCGCTCAGACGACACTGATTGATGTCCCCGTTTCATTTGCATCACAGGGAGATTGCGAAGGAACAAGGGTTTCATTACGCGAGGGCCGACTGCTCGTCCATGTTCTCCGGCAAGCTCTGCGCCCGACTCGGCTTCAACGCGGTGTACAAACTCGACTACAGCGACTACGTGGATGAAAGTGGAAAGGCCGTTTTCTCACCCGCGTCACCTCACACGACGATGACCACATACGTGAAGAAGTTATAAGAATCGCGTCAAAAGTCACCTTCGAAAGCAATCCAGCACCCGATATGCGAAAACGTTCGTTTTAAGGAGAGACGAGACGTCACGTTGGAGACGCATATAAGCTAATATAGTAGCGATTTCTTAAACGTGACTGGAGAATCGCCGTGTATTTTGTAACTTTGTATTGTAAGCGACACGACAACAATTTCAAGAGGTATAAATTTCGGAATAAACGAGGAACTAGTTGCAATTATTTGTAACGATTTGGAAAAGTTATATGTTATTGCAAAGTACTAGCACGTGAAAGGCATGTAATCGCAAAAAGTATTCGCTCGTGTGTATATAAGTTATTTAAAGATCGATTCACTTTTGTATCATGTGACATTATTCACACAATATAACGCAAAATATATAGTGTAAAGTTTCATTATGAAAATAATCTGTTGTAGTATCTCGATTAAGTAAAAAGAGTATATTATAAAGACTTCAAGATATAATTGTGATTAAAAGTAATTATTCACATACAGTAAGTAATAAAAGTAATAAAAGTAATAAGTAATAAAAGTAATTATACACATCTCGCATCTTTTTATACTGAAGACTATGTTAAATCACATTTTCAAGTTTTCTGTACTTTGAGAAATAAATAGGACTTGATACAGATAAATTAGGATCCAAAAATCACAAGCGTGAGATTTTATTCTATACTCAAAAAAATTCTACTTACATATGTGTAAAGGAAAATGATGTCTGTTTCTTAATATAATGGGGAGGAAAGTTGTATTGGGAAAGCATGGCAAGGCAAAAAAATGCTGACATCTACAATTATATCTCTTTTAATGCAACTTCTGACGAAATATTGACTAATATTTACTATTATCTTCAGTGACGAACTTGTCAAAATTTGTTGCATCTAGTTGATCTATGTTATTCTTCTGGTTATACACCACTCTTTGCATTTTTTTATATTGATGTTCTAATCGCATACTTCGTAATTGATTAAGTTTTCTCACCTTCATCGAGTGCAGCATAAAAAACAGCTGAAACAATCCCATTCCAAAAAACAAAAGAGCAATCACGAGCCCAATAGCTGGCTTTGATTTTTGCTCAGGCGGTGGCCATTGTCCTCCTGCTGTACGTACCTCATATTCCCATCGACTCCCATATTGCCTGTAACAATGTATTATATTTTCTATCAATTACATTATATCTCTTATAATTAGGAAAAACTGAACGTTCTGAAACTTCTTCTTATGCTACATCTATTTTATTTCTAAAATATTATATCAATATAGACCATTTAACATATATGATACCGTAAGTATTTATAACATCTTCATCAATTAATAATTATTCTACCGATATAGTCTATGTTCTAACCTATATAATCTTACCTATTGTGTGAGTAATCATGTGTATATGGATTGTACGTATACTTCATCATGTCCAGACTTTGATCATATCTGCGTCTTGTATTTGCTTTCCCCAACACTGAATAAGCTTCATTCAGCTTCACAAAATCAGTGTGACTGTATCTTCCACTGGTATCGGGATGTAACTAATGAAAACAAGCACAGAGTACGTTTGAGGATACACAGGAAAATGTTAAAGTATTAAAATATTGCTTTTAACAGATATTTTTCAATCAATATCTCTGGCTAGAAATATATAATCTACAATATTAATTTTGATATATATTTAGTACTTACTTGCTTTGATAATTTGAAAAAGGCTTGCTTGATGTCTTTCTGTGATGCATTGTGTGGAACTTTTAAAGTTTCGTAATGATTCTGCTGATATCTGGGAAGAAATATGTCAGCATTATATACATTGAGATAGGACTATATTGCAAATATTTTCATATCTCTCTCCTTTAACTGCATCATGTTACTTTCTGCATTCAGAGTAAGATAAAGTAAGATAAATATACTGTATTTTAGGGAAAACACAAGAGAGATAATTTGCAAGAAAGTACACAAAGTGCAGCTAAAAGGAACAGTTTGGCGTCAAGTAACCACAAAAACGAGATTCAGACCTTTGACTACTATAACTTCTAGCTACAAAACAAATTTTCGACTGGCACACTCGAAATGATTGTGACATTGCTTATCGATGTTTCTTCCTAACAAACTTATCACTTTGGTAAACTGGCACATTTTGAGCATCGGTCGTTTGCATGTCAAACAAACGCCGCCATCTTCCACACCGCATAAAAATAACAATTAACAGCGCATATTCTAACGTGTATTGCCAGCTTTTTTCCAAGAATATTCGTTACTTGCTTTATTTGAGATGACTTTTGCGGTTACCGCTATGTTGCAAGTTAATCAACTGCTAATAGCTAAAGAAACTGAGATTACAATCGCGGTAACGAAATCTTTTTCTAATTAGCATTCGGTAGTTACATCGTTGTGGTTACCATCGTAAGGAAACTACATTAACGACCGTCACCGACGATGCTGTTAAAAGCATCGATGGTAAAGTTTCGTAATAGAATAAAAAGTTGGAGATCGATCTTTGATGGAACCCAATGCCCAATAATACCGGATTTGACGTAGTTCAGAGGATACAAACTTACCAAAGCACGAAGGCATAATATGGCGCCGAGACTCGAAGTTTTTCTCATGAAAAGACTTTGTATTTTCCATTTTACTCGTATGACGACACGGCACGGCGCAGCGCAGGTTTAACAAAGCTAATTTACGCGTAGAAATGATCGCCCGTCACTGAATTCGACACTCCCGATACTCGCCTGCGTGCGAAATTCACTCCCGACGCAGCAAAGGACGCAACGAACGCGATATCGAGAAACGGCCATCGAGCCATTGAGAAACGATGTGAACTGCTGTAAGTGGCGCGTTCAAACGCGCATCACGTGATGCGCGTTTGAACCACTTCAAAATGAAATAGATCGCTGTGATTGGTCGGTCGAGGCTTCTCATACTCATTGCCAATATTGAAAATCTACATTTCACGTTAGGTAACTATGGGTTCTTAGCATGGGCAGCGCACGTCGGCCCGAGAATCTTAATCGTTGCAAAAATATTCGGAGTCAGTTACGAGGAATCTCGCGTGAGTTATCATCAGAAATGCCGAAAGTGAATTCTGTGCGTTAATCATAATCCGCATCGGCGAAAAACCGTCGGAAGCATGTCGCAGAATGTAAAACCTGTCGCGTCGAGGGTGCAAAGTATCGCATGTTTGCCATTTTATGCAGCTTTTCGGATCATATTTTACGTGATCGACTCGTCGAAAGAGGGTCCCGCGTACGAAACGATGTCGGCCTGAGGTAAGCTTGAGGATTTTTAGTAGTAGGATATAATTTAGTGTAGAATAATATAGTGTAGAATTTGTAGTAGTAGGATATATATATGTACAGGGTGAGGAAAAAGTCCCGAACCAGTAAAATATCTTGAAAACCAAGCGTTTTAGAGAAAAATGTTTCGAACAAAAGTTGCATGATTTCAAGGAAGACACAAAACAACTGTATCATTTTGTTTACAAATGGCATCATTTTCGAGATATTCACTGATCATTACTTTTCTTAAATAGAAATTCCAATTTTTTATTACACCGTCCTTTTCTACCAATTAATTTAAATAACTTTTGTCTGAAATATTTTTTGGTAAAAATGCCGAATAGGGGACCCCGCTCCTATGACCTTGACATATGTTGTCAAGGACACCTTCCTGAGTAACGTGCAAAAAATTTTAGCCGTCGCTCGTTGTTTGTTAAAAAGTTATTAGCAAAAAAAGTTTGGTTTATGCGTAAGTTGCAAATGCGTTTTGCACGGCGCGCTATGCGAGCCCCCCTCCCGCCCCCTTGTGCTAAACGCACTTGCAACTTACTACTTTATCTCTATGAGAAAAAGTTGGAAATGGAAGTAAAGTTAAATTAGATTACGTATATTATAGTACGTTATATTGTAGTTCAACCTGTTCCTGTTCGTGTTGTGAACGAATTCGTAAACATTTGTTTTGAAACCGTATTAATACATTTTTTGATATTATATAGTATATATATCCACTAGATACATTAAATATTTGAATAAAATTATTTAATTCTGATAAAAAATTCGTGTACGATATAACGTAACCTAATCTAACCTTACTTTCATTTCTAACTTTTTCCCATGAAGATAAGGTCGTAAGATACAAGTGCATCTAGCACGGGGGGAGGAATGAGGGAGGGGCGGAGAAGGGCGGGGAATGCGTGTAGCGCGCCGTGCAAAACGCACTTCCAACTTGTGCGTTTATGAAAATTTTTGCAATAACTTTTTAACAAACAACGAGCGACGGCTAAAATTTTTTGCACGTTACTCAGGAAGATGTCATTGACAACATATGTCAAGGTCAAGGTCATAGGAACGGGGTCCCCTATTCGGCATTTTTACCTATTTTTTTATTTCCCTAATATTTTTTGAGATATTTAAGGAAAACTTGACAACTTTTTCAATATTTAACTTGCGATATCTCGCTAACTATTTGTCGAAAGAAAAAGTGGTACTAGACTTTCTTGCTCTATTTGGTCTCAAGAATATATTGTTACAATAGCGCCCTGACTTTTGTTAATTTGATGATTTTGAAATTTCCAAAAGTCAGTAAGTTACTAAAAGTCAGGGTGCTGTTGTAACAACATATTCTTCAGATTGAATAGAACAAAAAAGTCAAGTACCACTTTTTCTTTCGACAAATAGTTAGCAAGTTAAATATTGAAAAAGTTGTCAAGTTTTCCTTAAATATCTCAGAAGATATTAGGCAAATAAAAAAATGTTTCAGACAAAAGTTGTTTAAATAAATTGGTAGAAAAAGACGGTGTAATAAAAAATTGGGGTTTCTAGTTTAAGAAAAGTAATGATCAGTGAATATCTCGAAAATGGTGCCATTTGTAAACAAAATGATATAGTTGTTTTATGTCCCCCTTGAAATAGTACAACTTTTGTTCGAAATATTTTTTTCTAAAACGCTTGGTTTTCGAGATATTTTACCGGTCCGACACTTTTTCCTCACCTGTATGTATACATAATCGATATCTCGATTATCTCAAGTAATCTTTGCGCATTTCTACTGCGTTCTTTTTAAATGTAAACGCGACATTCCGATTGGCAGGCTAACTGAGCCATCACAGACGCATCGATCGAGCCGCTTCGAGAATCGCAATTTGCATCCGCGATCTGCAGCTATCGTCAGTTCAGTCAACGGATCACGGCACGGCAGTACAGGTTCAGGAAGCTGCTTCGTATTTCTCGCGATTTCGGCTCATCGCAGGTCTTGGAAGTGGATTATCGTCGGGAATATCGAAGGTAAGTTTTGTGCATTTGCTGTGGCAATGTCTATGAGCCATCGAAAGCAAATATCTCGCGGAACAGTTTGTCGGGAGTGTCGAACAGGATACTGCATGTCCGTCACGTAATGGCGGCTCGAAGTTCAAATCGCTAGCCGTTCCGGTGTCAATATGTCGAAGAATCTTATACGCGAAATCGTCGGGACTTCGACACTCCTGATCGTCAGAAATGCGTTCCGTGTTGGGAGCGTCGATTGAATAATCGTATTGTTGTTGTTGCAGTTTGATGTTTGAATCACTGCGTCTCACGTTTTTGACCTGCAGTGGGAAAAGTAAGGTACGTGTAGTGTAATACAAATTATAATAGACGATTGCACCTTATTTGCTATTTTTGCGCGCTTATTTGCGAATTTCGGTTGAATATAAAATGGTTGACGTTTGGAATAAAAATAAATAAAATAAAGAAAAAATAATTCATTGCTGAAACACATAATATTATCTATCGTAGATGTGTATGTGTGTGTGTGTGTGTGTGTGTGTATTTGTGAGGAAAAATATGGTTAATAATAAATCAAAAAATATATATTGCACTTTATGTTTCCATACGTTTTATATAATGTTCAATACATACATTTATTATAATGTTTAAAACGGTCGGTAATGCGTTAATACATTTTCCGACTCTGCGGATTTCTTCCGGTAACGGAACGCGAGGCCTCGTCTGTGCCTAAAGCTGACAACTTTGATTAATATCTCGTCGGTAATATTATCGACGTAGTTACATATTTGACGACGATACAGCTACGCTTCAGATTGGTATCACTGGCAATAACGAAAGCGGGCGCTGTCAGTGAGCGCAGTGTTGATTGGCTGTCAAAATTGTTTACGTTAGAATACTGCGCTTTAAAAGTTGATCCGGTGGTCAAGCCGAGATCTCGGACATTTCTCGTATTTATGATTTCTGTTGTTTGCGTGGAGTTTCACGATGGTACGACATGCCGCCCTTAAGGGACTATACGATGTGGAAAAGACGATCGGTAGCGGCGGTTTCGCTAAAGTTAAACTGGCCACTCACGTTGCTACCGGCGAGAAAGTTGCCATTAAGATTATGGACAAGACAGCATTAGGTGTAAGTAGAATTACAAGCGATAAAACTATTTCCGTTATCCAACTGGAATAAACCTTTCATCTTGTCGTCCCCACATCAGCATAAAACGCACGTTATGGTTATATCCATTTCAGGATGATCTACCAAGGGTGAAGCTAGAAGTAGAAGCGCTCAAGACATTGTTACATCAACATATCTGCAGGCTGTATCAGGTCATTGAGACAGAAAGTCATTATTTCATGGTAATAGAATATTGCTCTGGAGGAGAATTATTTGATCATATAGGTAATACTTTAAATAATGGTCTAAATTTGTATTTTTGGGAATTTAAAATTTTACTGAGAGACATGCTTCTTTCGTCGCAGTGGAGAAAAACAGATTATCGGAAACTGACTCTCGCAAGTTTTTCCGTCAGATAGTTTCTGCTGTGGCTTATATGCACAGTTTGGGATATGCTCATAGGGATCTGAAGCCAGTAAGTATATTTATTGTCGAGTGATACTTGCCTGCCGTTGGAGTTAGATTACTTTTCCTTTTTTTTCTCAACAGGAGAATGTCTTGCTGGATAAAGAAGAAAATTTAAAACTAATTGACTTTGGACTATGTGCGAAACCCAAGACTGGAATGCAGTCACATTTGTACACTTCTTGCGGTTCTCCTACCTATGCTGCCCCAGAACTTATAATGGGAAAAAGATATTTAGGTGCGTAAGCTTCTTCCAAATATTTCTTATATTTTGTTATAATTTTATGTCTAATACATATAACTTGGTAGGCTCAGAAGTAGACATTTGGAGCATGGGAGTCCTTCTTTATGCTTTGTTGTGTGGCTTCTTGCCCTTTGATGACAATAACCTGGAGACTTTGTATAAAAAGATACTTGTGAGCTTTATCAGTTGCCAGCTGCATATTATATGAATATATAAATCACTAATGAGATTATATTTTAGAATGGCAAATACGAAGAACCATATTGGTTGTCTAACAACAGTAAAATGCTAATCAGGAAGATGCTACAAATCAATCCAGCGAATAGGATTACTATTCACGAATTATGTAATCATCCATGGATTACATCAAATTCTCTAAAACCTGTATCATTTGTCCATAGAACAAATGTAAGCATTTTTTGTTATCCACGCGTATACTTGAACATATCCTGAAATTAATTTTTTTTTATATGTGTTTAGTTTGAAAAAGATGATGAAGTATTAAGTACTATGTCCGCTATTTGCGGTGAGCACAGTATAGACATATGGAAGCGGCTCGTCAAGAGCGATAGAACTGATTATAAAACAGCTACATATTTATTATTACTTGACAGGAAACTGCGTGGACTTTCATTAAAAATAACGTCTATAACGAGATCATATTTTAAGACTGAAGTGGTTAGTATAATTACTTCTTTAATCATAATGAAATCAATATGTTCAGTTGTACATTTTTATCATTTTGAATTATAGAATAGCACGAATGTTCCAAAACGTGAAGTGGGAGTGAATAATTTTATAACTAAACTTGACCATTCTCCAAGAAACAAAATAAACAACAAGAGATCTCCGGTAATTGATGTTACATATAACGTTTTACCTAAACCAGATAAAGCTGAGAGTAATTTCACAGAACCTTGTGTACCAACACGAAAAAGATTACGAAGTAGAGAACCTGACGATGTATCATCGCCTGGTAAGCATTCTATACTTTTATCATATTAATAATATATTAATCTCTTTAATATCACATTTACTAACTAAGAAAGAATCTCTTCATTGTTATAATAAAGTATTTATAATAATGTCTCATTTCTCCTTGTAAACTTTAAACACCTTTTTGAATTCTTTTTTAAACACCTTTTGAATTCTCAGAGAATATTTTTTTCATCCTATTTTGGCTTCTAGATTATTGCAACTTTTATGTTTTGACCGACCATTTTTTGACGTACTTTGGCAGCGGAAGTTTTCACTTCGCGCCAGTTTTTGATACTACTTGTAAACGCGCATTTTACATACAACTATTTATTGTATTGCGCCGCGGTTACAATTAGCCTCGTAGTTGTATTTTCTAAACTTTACTTCTAATTAGGTGGTGTTAGCGTCTAACACCACCTAATTAGAAACTTTAATGAAAGTTTGCGAGTGCGATAAATTACGGTAGCCTCGCGAAAAGCGGATAATTACCTGGAGAAGAGCAACGACTTGCTAACAAACGCAATTTGAACTTAAGAATCACCAGTGTACAAGAATTCTCATCCGAAACTCCTCGGAAGATTCCAACATTCCTCAAGCTCTCCACCACATTCAAATCCTCCCTGTGTCTAGCGTAGTATAAAATATTCTTTTATTTTAGATATAGTATGTACATATATATCTCCTTATAATGCTCTCTCTAGTTATGCTTGTTGATATAATATATGAATAACATATTCAAGTTGAATGCCTGACAGATTTTACCTTTGTGATTTTGTTGTCCCAGCGAAAAGGCCGACCGAAAAGGATAGATTGGGTAATACTCCGACGCAATCCGCAACACCGGAAGCCAGGTAATTTTTTGAGTGAACAACGCGAACCGGAAGAGGCGTCGTGTATTCTTTTTCTGAAAGAGAGAAGATATACGATGTGTAGATATCTGATGTAAAAAACATGTTTTTGTAGGAGTACTCAAGTGTCTACACCGGGCAGTGCGAGAAAAGTTATGATGGGTTTAGAACGAGGATTGAACCGGGTGAGATGCGTCCTTACACCGAAGAGGCGAGTGAAGAATGAAAATACAGATACCGACGAACCGAGCATACTGTCGGGGAAGGTACGATTGCACACTCAAATTGGATGGTTGTGTATTAAGATTTCATCGTTAGAAATCGCACATCTGATAAATTCGATTCTATCTTCTTCGAAGGGCCTTTCCAATGTGTCTTCGACATGCAGCAGTTGCCCAAAATACGTTCTCTCGAAATTACGAAGAGCTCTTCGGCGGAAGGGTATAATGTGCCGTCAGAAAGGGTAACTATAATGTTTATTGTTGAACAATTCGTTTTCCACAGCCGTGTTATCGACGAGGCTGACGTCTTTTTGTAGGTTCATCTTGCAAGGCGAAACTGAGGAGTCCTTCTCGGAAGATAAAAAGGACTCGTCGAAATCGATTTGCTCGCAGAATTCCTGTTCCTTCGAACTCGAGGTCTGCCTCTTGGAAACTGGTTCGAACGACAAACCATTAGTTGGTATTCGTCGAAAGAGGTTGAAGGGCGACGCGTGGGTGTACAAGCGCGTTTGCGAGGAAGTTCTCGCTCTGGCAGCGGAGGATATTTCCACGGATCAGGAAGGTTCTTCCGAGTCCAAGTGTCCTATCTGAGACACGTCTCATAGTTTGTACGCGCATCAACGCGATATATAGATTTCTTAAATAATACTTGCGTCCTCAACAATCCGAGATATGCTTGCACGTGTCTTGATCTCTTAGATGTTAACGGTGCGGTAAAGATTTATATTTCATAAAGAACCGACTATATGTGCAACAGAGGTAATGTAAGTCTTGAACGTTATCTTGCAATCCTCAGCTACGTTAAAACGTTAAATGTATCAACATGCCAAGGTGAGGAGAGATATATATTTCGACGTAATGTACATTTATTTTCCAGAGACAACTATATACGGCTAAGGAAAGATTTATAAGAAATATTCCTATGGTACGTGTTGTAATGGTATAAGCAGAAAAAATCAAATGTAATGATATTTATAGGCGATAAAAAATTTTAATAAATCTATACTGTGTTTCTACGTACGAGCCCTTTGATCATTCATATCCGAGACAAAGACTATACGAATGTCTACAGGATATACATATCAACTGGATTGCAATCGCAACGACGAGCCGTGCTCTGTCGTTCCTCGTGAAATGTCGGAGGTGTAAATTTATCTTACGCGTCGACGATAAATAATTGTTGAGTTGTCCTTCCTCCCTGTATCGCGAAACGCACGCGGATATTGATCCTGCGAGCGTTCCGACCGAGACGACTGTCGACTGTGGACGGCACAAAGAAATTTCTTGCGAGTAGCGCGCTTCGAGCGCCTCTTCGGCTCCTTCTGCCCGGAATATGTAAAGCTCAATTTCGCGTTTATACCGCAGATATAAAGTATCGCGGCCCGTTTGAACCGCGGCATCTCCCGCCGCCGGTATAGAACTATGGACAGGCGAAGATATAAAATCACCACAAATCGATCAGCATAAAGTGAAGCCGCGTACACTTCACTTTACTTTATGGGGCAGGCGAACCGACCTTTTATCTTTGCCCGCTCAATAATCGCTGGTCTTTTCCCCGAGAGAGGAGGCACGCGCACACACACACACACACACACACACACACATACACACAAATATATATATATATATATATATATACCTCTCTCCGCGCGTCCAGAGGTATCCCGACGTAGTTCGATCGACCGTTTTTTTTTCCTCGTCGATTCGGTGCCGTTGCGAAGACAAAGCCCGGTTGCGGCCTACCTCGCAATTGCTGCTATACTCTCTCTCTCTCTCTCTTTCTCCCTCTCTCTCTGTTTGTCTCTCTTTCGCGGCTCGCGCTCGGGAAAGACACGGACACGGATTGCAACGGGACGCGCGGGTAACACGGTGGACTCGTCGTCTCGACTAAGCCGGCGATTAATTAAACGGGTTATTTTCCAGGATGAATTCGAGGCGAGAAACAACGAAACGAACAGAACAGTTCCGTGTATAAATGAAATTGCCGTGCGCGTGATGTAAAGCTTCCAAGCCGACCGAGCATAAATTACAATTAACCGTACGTACCGTGTGCGTGTTTGCGCGCACGCATGCACGCACGCGCACGTACGTTGCGATTTTCAATTCATGCCTTCGCATGTACCGAACGAAGAAATGCCGAAGTGAGGTAACAGGAGTGGGTGTGTGTGTGTGTGTGTGTATACAGGCGTTTCCATTTTTATCCGCGTTGCGATGCAACTCGATTATATTCTCGCCTTGCTGTTAGCCGTAAATATATAAGCGCGCGCGTGCGTGCGTTATGCCAATTCCGACAGATATTTTATATTTTTGTAACCGCCATAGTCCGATTTCATTTTCTCACGGGAGGTACTCGCTTTCGCGAGAAGCAGCGCGTCGGCAAACAAGATATTAACGTAATCGGACGGCCGCGACGCGTAAGCCATTCGCGCAACGCAAATTAATTGTACGACGTTAAATTAATGTCGAATGAATTTTGCAGCATGCTGGACGGTGTTAGCGCAGCCACCGAGGATGAACGTTACTGCCCACGTACGCCTCGTTCTCGCCGATGTATCGGCTGTCCGACACCGGTTCGTACCAATTACCGTCTGGCCGGCGGTTAATTAAGGATTGGGGCAATGAGGCCCGGCGATACAGTTTCCGCGATAATGATTATCTGCGACGGTAATTGAGCGAGCGGGAGCTCGAATACACCGCGAGGGGAGAACGAAACGGAAGAAAGGGGAGAAAAAGACGCGAGCGCGAGCGAAGAGGCAAGGAGAGATCAGACGTACGTAAGAGTCCTTGGTTCTATTTCTTTTTTCTCTCTTCTCCACTCTTTGCTGTATATTTCAATCTCGTCGTGAAATCACCGCGTCGCGTCATGTTACCTGTTGTTCCCTGTACCAGCGGGAAATTACAATTCTGACAATTTCTTCTTTGTCTGTGCTTTAGGAAGCAAAGAGAGAAGGAAGGAGCGAGAGAGAGAGAGAGAGAGAGAGAGAGAGAAAGAGAGAAGGAGAGACTCTTGATCGATGAAGAAGACGAGAGACGCGGTAACAACGGCGGCGCGGATCTTACGAGCCGAGGAAGAGGGAAGTCCTTATAGCGACCTGGACTGCTTCGAGTCAGGCGAGCTCGCGAGCGAGCAAGACGCGTTACCGAGGTAAGTCTGAGCATGTGTACAAAGCCACGCATACGAAGAAGAGGCAAGGGTGGCACGCGCGGCCCGCTTCTATCACTTCCGGGCATCAGCGTGCTCGCGAGCCGCGGCTAATTGCTCTTTAATGCAAGTGAGCGAGCGAGCGAGCGAGCGAAGGAACGGCGCGTTGCTTTCCTTGGTTCGTACGTGCGGAGGAAAAGCCCCGTCGAGAGACGTTGTTAACGACGAAGAAAATGGCGGCCGGATAATTCCGCGCACGACGAGGCCGGCGAGTTTGAGCCGATTTTCCGAAATCGCCTGCGAGAGTTTCACGCGAGCGGGCGAGTTTCCAACGAACCTCGGAGGCCGAGAGAGCCACCTCCCTCCGTCGCCCGCTCCCCTCGCGTTACTTGGCGAAAACCTCGGCCTACGGTGAAACGATATAATCGTGGCACCAGCGCGGGTGAAAGTAAACCTGCCTCCTCTCTCCGATTGTAGTTTCTTCGAGCAATTGCGTCTTCTCGCAACGCCGCGACGCTTCTTCCGAGTCGTTCGCATGCCCCGCGAGCGCGAGTGACATTTGTTACACGTGGAAGAGACGATTTCTTCGCACACCTGCGCGCCGAGCGTTACGCGACCTCCTCCCCCTCCTCCTCCTTCTCCTCGTCGGCTAATCAGAAGCTGCGAATCGTTATGCAGCTTGCACTCGGAAGGAAGACGGGGAGCGCTAATCATCCGGCTTTCCTTTCTCTCTCTCTCTCTCTCTCTCTCTCTCTCTCTCTCTCTCTCTCTCTCTCTCTCTCTCTCTCTCTCTCTCTCTCTCTCTCTCTCTCCCTCGTTGTACTTTTTCGACCCCGGTCTTGTTTATTCGCGGGAGGAAAGGGCGCGCTGCTGGCAAAAATAAAGGGCAGAAAGCCCCGGATTCGTCGAGGCATGACCGCCGCGTCCAGCAGAAGCTCATACATATGTACGCGGCACAGGCCGGCCAGTGGCGAGCAACCCTCCTCTTCCTCCTCTTCCTCCCCCACGCTGGGAGCTGTTCGTAGGGAAGTCCCTCCGGAAAAATGAATATGCAGCCGCGCGCGCGGGAGAGTATTATTTTATAAAATTTACTATCGTGCCCGCGCATTATCCACCCTCCTGCCAACCACCGCAGGCAGATTCGCCGTGCTGACGTCTATAGCCTCTCTCTCTCTCTCCTTCCCTCCCTCCCTCCCTCCCTTCCTCCCTTTGTCGCTCGTCGCGGGGGAATAAAATATTTCTTGAAATGTGAGCGAAACTTTCTGCCCGAATATGCGTTTCTTCCTCGAGGCTGCTCGACTTTTTCTCATCGCGATCTCGTTTCTTCGAGGGACCGCGGGCTGACGAGGCGACGGTACTTTGCCGAATGAAATTTTCATGCGGTTCGAGCTTTTACCCGGGACCTTCCGCGCTGAGATTTTCGAGAGACCTCGACGTACTCGAGACGAACGTACACACTCAAAGCCCAAGTGACACACACGCAGACACACATAAAAATGCGAGCTGTGAGACTTGAGCTTAAACGAGCAAGTCGACCAATCACACTCGGTCAGTTTGCTCACTACTTGCGTTTTCCTACCTGCGTGTGTGTCGTGGACCTGACTTTCACGTGAAACAAGAATAAGAGGAGAAAGAGGTAGGGAAATGGAAAAGAAGCGCACGAAATGAGATTCACGCGGTGTGTCTCGACCGCGGACAAAATCTATTTATAGCCTCGCCTTTACGATCCTCGTCCTCGTCCGTGCGTAATTCGTACCTTCCGATGCCTTCTCACCCCACCTGTTCCATAACACTTCCTCCAGCCAGGGTGGTGGCCCTCTGCTGGTCGGGCTCTAATTACGAGTCGCTCGCGAGCGTAACCGCTTGTGTTTTTTCAAGTGTGCTCGGTGCGCGCGCGGGGCTGCTGGCGCTTCTATAAAATTGTAGCCCCTTATCGTCGGTAGAGGAAACGAAACATTAAATCGACTCCGAGCGAGGGGGCGGGCTGTTTCGGTGGGTGCGTCTGAGATTTCCTGTGTGGACTGTGTGGATGCTAGGAAGGATGGCTTCCTACGTAAAGGGCGCGTCCGACGTCGTGCGCGATTTATATTAACTACGGGGACGCGTAAAACATTTCGTCCCTTCGTCCTCTAAATATAGGTCGTTCCGTTGTGGTCCTTTGGTCCCTTTGTTCTCTTCTCTTTCCTCTCTGCAGAACACATAGACGTACATTTGCGGCGTACAGCTGGCGTAGTAACATACATCCTCATCTACACGGTGAAGAGAATCAATTTCGGGCTCGAAGTCGATCGAAGTACCGAAACCGAATTTCGCAACAATCAGAAACTCCGTTTCTCTCTCTCTCTCTCTCTCTCTCTCTCTCTCTCTCGAGCGCGTTCGATTCGCTCGTCGCGCTCACTCGGACAAAGGCCGCGCTTCTCCGCGCGGCGACGGTACGTAAATTCAAATTCGCACATCTATCGCGACGTTCCTTTATGATATCTACTTACGACATCTGCTGTGCGCTATTGTATCGCGACACGCGCGATACATCCCGCTCGCATATCCTGAGCCTCGAGTCCTGCGCGCGCTCCTGCGTTCTCGCGGCGAACAGCGTGCGGAGAAGTGCGTCCAGGCGATTCCAATATCGCGATATCTAAACAACTTTATCATTAATGCAGCAGTAGCGCCGCATTACTCCCGGGATTTGTATATAATGGCGCTATGTACATATGTAATACGCCGCTCCGCGCACATAACGGCGATATCATAAGATACGAGCCAATAGCCGCAATTGTATGGAAATATGTATCTATGAATGAAGACACTTTCATTTATGAAACCAGATACTTATGTACCGGACACGGGCGTTGTA